CAGCGCTGGCGCTTTGGCTTTGAAACGGAGATGAGCACCGCAACCCTAGAGTCGGATTTGACTGCCTTTCGAGCAAGGGAAACCTTTACCTTTAGAAAAGAGCAAGAGTCCAGTAGCAGTGTAAAGACTAATAAAATTGGTGGCAGGGTAGGAGCTTTTGTGAGTCACTGCTCACTTTTTCAGTTACTTGAAGAAGTGAGCAAGCTCATCCCCTGCCCTATATTCTATTAATCTTTTTTTAAAAAAAGAATTGTATTAGTTTATGCACAGAGAAAGGGAAAGGGGAAATATTCTATTAATCTTTAAGGTGTTACTGGAGCCTTGCTCTTTTCTGCTGCCTTATAGAGTGGGAGTCCATCTGATGGACTCCCATCCTAGTTGTATCTGAAGAAGTGAGCAGTGACTCACGAAAGCTCACAGTCTGCCTTGAATTTTGTCAGCCTTAAGGTATGGCTGGACGCTTGCTCTTTTCTACTGTGTAGGTCGGTGATCCCAAAGGGTGCAGGCTACATAGCAGGCCGCACAGCTCAAGCCCTCTCCCATAGATCTTGGTTCATTCTGTGTGGGATACTGCCTTATTAAGGTGGGTAGCCGTGTTAGTCTTTCTGTAGCAGTAGAAAAGAGCAAGGAGCATTTTCTACTGCATGACGGGGTGAGCTCCCGTCTCTAGTTCCAGCTCCTGCCAACCTAGCAGTTCGAAAGCAAGACATTGCAAGTAGATAAATAGGTACCACTTCAGTGGGAAGGTAACAGCGTTCCGTGCGCCTTGGTGTTTAGTCATGCTGGCCACATGACCACGTCTTCGGACAGCGCTGGCGCTTTGGCTTTGAAACGGAGATGAGCACCGCAACCCTAGAGTCGGATTTGACTGCCTTTCGAGCAAGGGAAACCTTTACCTTTAGAAAAGAGCAAGAGTCCAGTAGCAGTGTAAAGACTAATAAAATTGGTGGCAGGGTAGGAGCTTTTGTGAGTCACTGCTCACTTTTTCAGTTACTTGAAGAAGTGAGCAAGCTCATCCCCTGCCCTATATTCTATTAATCTTTTTTTTTTTTAAAGAATTGTATTAGTTTATGCACAGAGAAAGGGAAAGGGGAAATATTCTATTAATCTTTAAGGTGTTACTGGAGCCTTGCTCTTTTCTGCTGCCTTATTAAGTGAACTGACAATATTGTTATCCAGAGAGATCATTTTCAGTGTTATCGGGACTTGGTCACTGTTCATGTTTTTGGATACTGGGGTAAGAGAAAGTGTTTCTTTGTGTTTTGTGATTTAATTTTTTTTATTTATAATTTGTATTTAAGAATTTAATAACAATGCAAGGTAAGCACAGTAGATGTCTGCAGATGAAGTACAAAAATAGGTTAGCAAAAACATTAATGCTTAACTATGTCCAGGCTGAAGTTGCCAGAGAACTGTATTACACACTACAAAACATCTTTTAAGGCAGCAGCCATCTAATAAATACATATATATCAAGTTTCAAAAGTATATCATTGACATATATCTTTACAGGCAGATTTAAAATCAGTGTTCTGAATGTAACTTCAGATATGATCTTAGATCGAAGCCAAATAATGTTTCAGGTGCAAGTTTCAAAAGTATATCATTGATTTGTATAAAGGATTTGCTGGAATTACATCAGATCCAGCCGTATAGCTAATGAGTGAATACCAGGATGCTATAAATTTTTCTTCAAACTTGCTGGAGGAAAGATTGAGTGTGCTAAATGATATTTTGGACAGAATGAAGTGGTCCCAAATACGATTTTGCCAGGATTGGATTGTGGGGGGAAGTTTGTCTAGCTACGTCGCGGCTATGGTATTTCTGGCTATGGTTAACGTGTGTTTTGTGGGTTGTTGCAAACACCTTTTTGGGCGCTAACGTGTGTTTTGTGAGTTGTTTGTGAGTTGTTGCAAAACACCCTTTTGGGCTTTTTTCTATAGTTGGGAGTATGAAACGTTATGTGTCGTGTTACATCTTTTGTTTCTGATAATAGATCTTCAGTATGCCTTTAAAAAGTCCTGCTAGCCCAAACAGGTGGAACAAAGCAAAGGGCCCTGACTTTAGGGGGTTCATGAAGCTCGCTGAACGTGTTGATACGGAAGTGAGACCAGCCTGTCTCTTTATCTCTCTGCCTTAGCTCCATGGCGGGAAGAGGGTGATGGAGTGCCTGAAGAAGGCACTGAAGATCGCCAACCAGTGCATGGACCCCTCTCTCCAAGTCCAGCTCTTCATCGAGATCCTGAACAGATACATCTACTTCTACGAAAAGGAGAACGAAGCGGTAAGTGATGCTGTAGCGAAGAAGACAGCCGTGCTTCGGTTTCTGAGGTTCCAGACCAGGGCTATTTTGGGGCAGGAACGCAGAGGAACGGAGTTCCGGCTGGCTCCCAAGTTAGATTGTGGTACCATATGATTATTAGTTACAGTTAATGAATTGATGCAGAGACTTGGATGCTATATCTTCATTGTTAATTAATTATTTAATTGATTATTTTGTACAATAGTTGATCAGTGGAGGTGAACAAAATAGTTGATTAGGGATCAGTGGAGGTTAATGAAATTTATAACTGTGGTGATTGGTCCTAATTGTTAAGTAGACATTATTAAGTAGAAAATCAAATGTGGTGATTGGAGTTAATTAGTAAGTAGAAAATTAAAATAGAATACAGTAACAGTAACGGCCTGGAGGGGGGGAACAGTGAGGCCTCCTCCACCTGCTCTGCATGGAGCTCCCCCGCTTCTCTCCCCCCCGCGATTTCCGCGGGTCCCCTTTCTTGTATCCACCAATTGTTCATTTATTCTTATACCTAATAAAAAGTATGGTATTAAAAAAAAGATCATTTTTTTCAGGAGTGTATGTTTTAAAAGAATTGTATTAGTTTATGCACAGAGAAAGGGAAAGGGGAAATATTCTATTAATCTTTAAGGTGTTACTGGAGCCTTGCTCTTTTCTGCTGCCTTATTAAGTGAACTGACATTAAGATTATCCAGAGAGATAATTTTCAGTGTTTAGATAAATGTATCGGGACTTGGTCACTGTTCATGTTTTTGGATACTGGGGTAAGAAAAAGTGTTTCTTTGTGTTTTGTGATTTCATTTTTTTATTTATAATTTTTATTTAAGAATTTAATAACAATACAAGGTAAGCACAGTAGATGTCTGCAGATGAAGTACAAAAATAGGTTAGCAAAAACATTAATGCTTAACTATGTCCAGGCTGAAGATGCCAGAGAACTGTATTACACACTACAAAACATCTTTTAAGGCAACAGTCATCTAATAAATACATATATCTTTACAGGCAGATTTAAAATCATTTTTCTTCAAACTTGCTGGAGGAAAGATTGAGTGTGCTAAATGATATTTTGGACAGAATGAAGTGGTCCCAAATACGATTTTGCCAGGATTGGATTGTGGGGGGAAGTTTGTCTAGCTACGTCGCGGCTATGGTATTTCTGGCTATGGTTAACGTGTGTTTTGTGGGTTGTTGCAAACACCTTTTTGGGCTTTTTCTATAGTTGGGAGTATGAAATGTTATGCGTCGTGTTATATCTTTTGTTTGTGATAACAGATTTTCCGTCTTCCACCCAAGCGCTTATTCAAACGGGGGTGCGCTTAAAACTTTTTCTTTCTCGATCGTCAACTCACAGTTTGTAGCTGGATGTCTTCTCTCTTTTATACTTCATCGCTTTACCACTCCGATGGTCTGGTGGCGTTGCTAAGTCCCCATTCGGGGCACAGCGCGGCGGGGCCGTCGGGGCATGGGGAAAGCCTCAATTTTCCGACCTTCGGTTTGGTAAAGAGGCTACTCCCCGGTGCGCCCCCTGATTCGGAGCCTTTGCCTAAGGCTCCTTAGGATGAGTGAATACCAGGATGCTATAAATTTTTCTTCAAACTTGCTGGAGGAAAGATTGAGTGTGCTAAATGATATTTTGGACAGAATGAAGTGGTCCCAAATACGATTTTGCCAGGATTGGATCGTGGGGGGAAGTTTGTCTAGCTACGCCGCGGCTATGGTATTTCTGGCTATGGCTAACGTGTGTTTTGTGAGTTGTTTGTGAGTTGTTGCAAACACCTTTTTGGGCTTTTTTCTATAGTTGGGAGTATGAAATGTTATGCGTCGTGTTACATCTTTTGTTTGTGATAATAGATTTTCAGTGTGCCTTTAAAAAGTCTTGCTAGCCCAAAGAGGTGGAACAAAGCAAAGGGGCCTGACTTTAGGGGGTTCATGAAGGGTTTATGGGGGAGCTCGGTGAACGTGTTGATATGGAAGTGAGACCAGCCTGTCTCTTTATCTCTCTGCCTTAGCTCCATGGCGGGAAGAGGGTCATGGAGTGCCTGAAGAAGGCACTGAAGATCGCCAACCAGTGCATGGACCCCTCTCTCCAAGTCCAGCTCTTCATCGAGATCCTGAACAGATACATCTACTTCTACGAAAAGGAGAACGAAGCGGTAAGTGATGCTGTAGCGAAGAAGACAGCCGTGCTTCGGTTTCTGAGGTTCCAGACCAGGGCTATTTTGGGGCAGGAACGCAGAGGAACGGAGTTCCGGCTGGCTCCCAAGTTAGCCACGCCCAGCAGGAACTCATTAGCATAATAGGCCACACCCAACAGCAGAAACTCATTAGTTACACTTCTGGTAACATGGGGGTGTGGCCTAATGTGCTAATGAGCGGTGCTGTCAGGGTGTGGCCTAATAGGCTAATGAGTTCCTGCTGTTGGGTGTGGCCTATTATGCTAATGAGTTCCTGCTGGGCTTTTTCTACAAGAAGAGCCCTGTCAGACTAAATGTTATGTGTAAACGCCTGCCACTTCTTCCCTATAAAATGGTATGAGACGGGTAGGTGCGGACTGGGAGGGGGGAAAGGGCCCTGCTCCCCGGACCCACTCCCCAAGGGAGGGAGGAAAAGCCTGCCCAGCCAGCCTTCTCCGTACACAGCTCATCCAGGTCCCTCCTCCTTCATGCTCCGCCCCACATAAGGCTCGGCCACCTCTTGCTTGGCCGTCGGCCCTCCAGGACTTTTCCCAGTGGCTTTAATGGCCAGTCCCCTGTTGGGAAAGGGGAGAATTGAAGCAAAGGTGTATTAATGTGGGAGGACAACAGTGGCAAGGTGGCAAGGAGAGAGGGTACAGGAATGGGGGAAGGTGGCCAATGCATGTGTGAAACCACATGGTTGGAAACATCTGGGGTCAGGGTTTACAGAGTGGGAAAAGGTGAGGCGCAGTTTGCTTTCTGTCCCTCCTTTACTCCAGGTTGCTGCCTCTGGGAGACGCCTCGCAGCACGCTTGCAGTTTGTTGAGATTCCGTTGCCCGTGTTTGCGTGTAAAGCTTAGCTATGTGTGCAGTGCTTGGGATGCTGTTGGATTCCTCTTGGAGGAAAATCGGATCACCGTGGGCACAAGCTGAACTTTTTTTTGCAGGAAACGTCTGCCATTGCTAATCTTCTGGGAGTTTTTTTGTGGGGGTTAGAGATCCTTTGAACATGGCTCGGATGCCCATCGGTAGTTCAATTCGGTGCTTAGTTTTTATGCTTCACTAAGCACAAGTGTGCCCGTGGCCCTTGTGGGCCACGAAATTAATTCCCCAGCCCAACTAAAGCCTCTCCTCTCTCCTGATATGCTGAAAGCGCTCTTTCTTTTCTCCAGGTTGTCATAACGATCTCTGGACTAATTCTCCCCCCCCCCCTTCCCTTTTTGTGTTCTCTGTATCCAGGTGACAATTCAGGTTTTGAATCAGCTCATTCAAAAAATCCGGGAAGATCTTCCGAACCTGGAATCGACTGAGGAAACGGAGCAAATCAACAAACACTTTCACAACACGCTGGAGCACTTGCGGTTGAGGAGAGAGTCCCCGGAGTCCGAAGGGCCCATCTATGAAGGGCTGGTCATTTAGAAGAAGAAAACAAAGAGCCCGCGAGCGCCCCGTTCTGCTTCACCTTTCTCATTTATACACAGTACATGATTCCCCCCCCACCCCCCTTATGCTAGAATTCATAGATTGTGCCTTTCGGAAGTGCCAACTTAGGCTACCCAGTTGCTTTCCTGCCCCTGCTGCCCTGTGACTCATTCAGCTACGCGCTTCCAAACACTGCTTCTTCGGAACGTTCCAGCAGTCTGGACCAGCGGCTGGATCGATAACCGTCAAAGTTAGCATGACTGAAGTCCTCCGGTTTAAAACGTGCGAGGCATTTCCCCTTCTGTCTTCTGTGGTCTCGTTTCTGTCTCCTCCCAATTCTTTTGCTCCGTTCACCCCCCCCCTTCCTCTAACATCTAATCTGGCTTTCTATTTTCAAGTGTTATAGATGTGTATTTGATTTATTTTTACTATTTTTACAGAGCCCCCCCCCCCCATTTTCCTGTATGCGGGGTTCAGCTTTTTTTCTTTTCTTTTTACAATGCAGCTCAAGGTTATGTCCAGTTCCCCCCCCCCCGGATATATTAATGCATGTTCTTGGAGTTGAGGCAACCGACTCCAAACCCAGAAGCTATATTTTGCATACGGAGGCTCTGTGACATTCGGTGAGAGCCGCTACGTTACACAGTGCATTATTTATCAAGACAATAACTTTCGTTTCCACTTAGTATTAAGAAAAAGTAATTGATAAATCGTGGTCTGTATAGTTCTACGTATAACCCTCGTTACTGTAAAGTTGGCCGAGGGGGGGGGGGAGGGAATGCATTACACAGTTCTATCATGAATTTGCACCAGTGAAAACATTAAAAGTTGCTATTAACAAGTGACTCGGTCTGTCTTCTGGTATCACTTGCACCTAATACTTCCATCAACTGTAGAGGAACCTATGAACTTGCTTTATACCAAGACCATTGCTCCCTCTAAGCTGTGGAGTCTTGTGAGCAAAAATTCTACTTTGAAGAAGAAGAGGAGATTGGATTTATACCTTGCCCGTCACTACCCGAAGGAGTCTCAGAGCGGCTTACAAACTCCTTTCCCTTCCCCTCCCCTCCCCACAACAGACATCCTGTGAGGTAGGTGGGGTTGAGAGAGCTCTGACAGAAACTGCTCTTTTTCAAGAACAGCTGTGCCAGAACTATGGCAGCAGGTGCAAGTGGAGGAGTGGGGAATCAAACCCGGTTCTCCCAAATTAGAGTCCGCGCACTTAACCACTACACCAAACTGGCTCTCAGTTTGTGAGCTACTGGCATTAAAGTTGTGAGTGAGCAATTTGGCTACTGCATAAATCAGTTCACTCTGGAGCCATCCTTCCTGAGCTAAGACAAAAATGTGTGAGCCGGAGGCTAAAAAACTCTGAGCTAGCTCACACTAACTCATCTTAGAGGAAACGCTGACCAAGACATGGCATTAGTTGGTTTAGTTCAGTGTGGTCTCTGCTGTGTTTGGCAGCTAGGGATGCACAGCCTGAAAAAAAAATCAGTATCTGAGCCGAAAAATGCTGGTATTCCCAGTTTCCAAATACCTGTTTGGTATTTGGATCTGGGTTTTATTTGGGGGGGGGGCAATTCTGATATTATTTGGCTGCTGGTGCCTGTCCTTTAAATAACTCCAAATTTCAAGTGAATTGGACCAAGCGGTCCAATTTTATGGGCGCCTGAAGGAGGTGCCCCCAGCCATTCCCCATTGTTATGTGAGGGAATTCAATACTTTCTCCAGGGCAAAGAATAGCCAAAGACAGTGACGAGCAAGCAAAGTAACACTTCTAGCCAGAAGCCTACAGACAGAACCAACAAACCCAAAGAACCGGTGCAGAACCAGGAAGTTTCAGCAGAACCGCAGGACGGTGTGGCAAGCCTAACAACAAGGTGACAACCCAAGAATCCAGCCCAATGTCAGACTAGAGAACAGGAATGACCCACAGCCCAACAAGTGTAAAATCAGAGCATCTACACCAATATACAACTGAGAATGAAAGGCAGTGGCAAACCTGAGAATCCACTGCAAAAAAAGCCAACCCGGCATGAAGCAACTTGTGCAAAGAATACTGCACTGCAAAACCAATTTAAAAGGACAGAAAGTGAAACCAGCATGGCAAGCCGATACCAAGCCCTGGGAAGGCACAAACACACCAGAAAAACAAAACAGTTCTGGACTGGGAGCCTTGTTGCTGTCTCCTGATATTTCTGGGTAAGCCAAATATTTCTGGGATTTTTGGGGACCCATTCCCCAGCATCCTGGATACCATTTGGAGACCTGAGTATTTCCAGAAGACACCAATAAGGTATTCTCCGGATATAGATTTGGACCAGATCATATCAGAATGTCCATCCCTATTAGCAGCAGCTCTTCGGGTCCTCAGGCAGAGGCGGGTTGTTCTCAGAGCTCGCATCTGGAGATTCTTTGGCTGGGACTGAACCTAGGAATTCCTGCCAGCAAATCAGGGGCTCTCCCGCTGAGCTTTGGCTCCTTTCCTCGAGAGCCATGAAAAATTCACCTGCTTCCAATGTTTCGTTGTTTTTTATGCACATTTGCACGAATGATATCTTCAGAGAGTGGCCGTGTTGATTTTAAGTAGAAGAGCTAGGTTCGGTTTCAGTAACACCTTAGAGACCCAACAGGAATTTCAGGGGATAAGATTTCGAGTCAAAGCTCCCTTCATTGGGTAGGATGGGATAAACATAGAGCCAGAGGTCCATAGCCACAAGGTATCCATAGAACACTAAGAACATAAGAGATGCCAATGTTGGATCAGGCCAAAGGCCCATCCAGTCCAACACTCTGTATCACACAGTGGCCAGAAATATCAGCGCCATCAGGAGGTCCACCAGTGGGGCCAGGACACTAGAAGCCCTCCCACTGTTGACCCCCCCAAGCACCAAGAAGACAGAGCATCACTTACCCCAGAGCCCCTATCTATACCTTGTGGCTAATAGCCACTGATGGACCTCACTATATCTGGGGCAGTGATACTCTGTATTCTTGGTGCTTGGGGGGCAGCAGTGGGAAGGCCTCTGGAGTTCTGGCCCCGCTGGTGGGCCTCCTGATGGCACCTGGGTTCTGGCCACTGTGTGACACAGAGTATTGGACTGGAGGGGCCATTGGTCTGATCCAACATGGCTTCTCTTATATTCTCTTATGACTCTTGAAAGCTTATACCCCAAAAAACTATGGTGTTTGGGTCTAATGAAGCTCTGTCATGTTCCCCAATGTCAATACAGGATATTATTTTGGCTGCTCTGTCTCTGTGCTAGGCTCACTGACATTAAGAGAAAGGGTCTTTTGGCTTTCAGCTATAGAATAACTCTTGGAGATTTGCCGAAGTTCGACTGCTCCACTTGGGCAGGCTAAGGACGGAAGGGTATAACTTGTTCATACTGCAAGTCCATCTTGATCAGTACCTTAGGAAGGGGGAAATGGTGCCTTTCCGTGATAGAAGACTCCTGTAGACCAAGGGTCCCTTGGAAAGTGCTCTGGTAACATAAGAACATAAGAGACGCCAATGTTGGATCAGGCCAAAGGCCCATCCAGTCCAACACTCTGTATCACACAGTGGCCAGAAATACCAGTGCCATCAGGAGGTCCACCAGTGGGGCCAGGACATTAGAAGCCCTCCCACTGTTGCCCCCCCCCCCCAAGCACCAAGAAGACAGAGCATCACTTGCCCCAGAGTCCCTATCTATACCTTGTGGCTAATAGCCACCGATGGACCTCTGCTCCATATGCTTATCTAATTCCCTTTTGAAGCCGTCCGTGCTTGTAGCCGCCACCACTTCCTGTGGCAGTGAATTCAGCTACCACCAATAAGAACCTCCTGAGAACACGACTAACCTGCCTAGAAGGTAGTCTTCCAGCACAACACTTGAGCAATAACAAAATATCTTCTAACCAACCCAGTTAGCACCCATGCAGTCTAGCACGGGGAGGAAGAGATTAAGAGAAGTATCCTAGAGAAAAATTGTACTAAGTGAAACAAACAAAAAAAATCCTTATTAAAAAGGTTGTTATACAAGAGAGGTGGAAAGGTAGTTGGATTCCAAAAGAGCAAGAAAAGGGCAAATAACACAATGTAGAGAAGGGCACACAGCAAGGACTGCAGAGAGAGTTTAAAATGAAAAACAATATGGTTGAGCCAGCTAAGCTTAAAGACACATTACCTAGGCGACAGCAGGTTTTTCAGAGAACACGCAGAGCTCCTTGCATTAACAAAAGTTGAAGAAGTCCTTAACCCCTATCCAACTTCCTGTGAACCCAGATTTCACTTGAAGACAAGGGGAAATCTCAATTCTCCATATATTTTATTTATTTATTTAGGTATTTTTACCCCGCCCTCCCCGCAAGCGGGCTTCAGGGCGGCTTACAGGGGCATAAGCCCATACATAAAATACAATAAAATCCTGTAAAATCACGAAATCGCAACCAATAACATACTGTTAATAATATTAAAGTGCTTTAAATTCCAAGATGGTCTGCTGTTGTTGTAGTAGTATCTTCCGGCAGAAATAGTCTGAGCTAATCGGCTGGTCTTGCTGCCATGTAGTTCACCTTACCGCCGGGTTATCAAGGGCACTCCAACTTTGATGATAATTCCACCGTTGGTGGTGGTGGTGGTGGGAGCGGCGGCCCCTACATAAAGGCCTGGTGGAAGAGCTCCGTCTTGCAGCCCCTGCGGAATTGCATGAGATTTATGGTAAGTGGAGCCTCCTTTCTAAGAATGACAAGCCGATTTCTCCAATCCCACAAGAATCCCCATCTCTGATGTCAGAGGCTACTTTTAGAATCAGAGCCGTATACAATACAGTCCCGCCTCCATTGGGCACCTGGAAATGGCTGTGAACTTCCATGACAAGTAGATATTCCATTCCAAACTGGGTGGTTGTTTGTCCAAAAAGGTTTAAGTCTGCCAGGGTGGTCCAATGTGGAATGGAACTGACTGGCTCATTCTAATAGAGTCTCGAAACGTCCAAGATCCTACACACTCTTGATCCTTAGCATGTTTTAGGATTTATGTCACAGCAAAAAGGGTATTGGGGGTATATGCTTTCGAGAGTCAAAGCTGCCTTCATTAGATACCTGATGTATCCGACAAAGGGAGTGTTGACTAAAGCTTATACCCCGAAAAACTTGTTGATCTCTGAGGTAGTACTGAATTCGAATCTACTGCAGACCACGGCTGCGGTTAGAGGTCAGGCTTAGTGCGGTCTGGCTGTGCCTCTAATTTATCTTGTGTTATTTGCTTCTGAGAGTTTTGTCTTAAATGTGCTGCCCTTATCCTGCCTCACTGTGCGCTCACCTCATGGTTGACTGTTCAGATTACTGCTACGTGGTAACCACGGAGTGGTAATTTTGGGTGGCATCCTTTTTAAAATTTGTTTTCTGGGCATGCACAGAAGTGCGTATTCGAAGCA